GGTAATCAGCTCACTCCCCTCCCCTTCCAGGAGCACTCTCTACTGGCATACGCTAAATCCCTCAACTCCCCTAACTCTTGTCTCGAGACTCTTGTCTCATATTCTGCTTCAGATCACACATCTCCTTGGTGTCTGGCTTCTGTCAGGCTCAGCTCACAGAGAAGCTCCAGCAGGAGCTGGGGAGTTTTCATTCTACCCTCAGCCTCCCCGCCATCCCCAGAGGTTCCGAATGGTAATGGCTGGCTCTGCAACTTCAGGTCTCAGGCTTCAAAAAGTACCACACCTTTGCTAGCCAGGGAGTACCAAATGTTCCTTTAGATTCACAGACAGACAGACAGACACACACACACACACACACACACACACACACACTTTTGAACAACTCCCACAAGCAGCTTTTTTTTCTCAAGTTATCAGTTCTGGTTAGGTAACTAGTCAGACAGTACAGGCTTAAGGAGGGACCCCTGAAGGAGACCAGCTCCCTCTTATTCCCCCAGAATTGGTCTTGAGCAGGGAGAAATGAGGAATTTGTAGATAGAATGAGAGAGAGAGACAAAGACAGAAAACACAGGACAGCCTCAGGAGGGCCTGGGTCCAAACCCACCAGCCCCTTCTGTCGCTATTAAAAGGCTTTTAAAGGAATGCCAAGGGGTGGAGCAAAAGACACACACACACACACACACACACACACACACACACCCCTGCAGCACAGCCAAGTGCATACCATCCAAAACACCTGGTGATCTTGCACGTGGTCAAGCAATCCCCTAATGTAGCCCTGCTGGGTAAAGCAAGCTCAGATCTTACTAGAAAAACTTTGTGGGCTCCCACAGATCCCCACCTTCAGAATCAGTAGCTTGTAGAACCAGGAACTAAAACTACAAGATCCTAAGTGCTAGCCAAAAAGAATGAGATCTAGACCCTGGGTAGAGACATATCATCCCGAACTGCCCAAAAGATCCTCCTGTTTACGGGGAGGCTTTCTGGTAAAGAATGAAGACACACATTATCCTTTTTCTTAAGAGTTAATCCAAACAGGCCTGTCAATGACCTGGACAGGGAAATGTCCCATTGGGGATGCTTTCTATTCTAGAGACACAAGAAACAGCAAAAGCCTACCTGAAATGCATGAGGGCGCAATGGTCCCTTTAGCCAATGTCCACTCTTACAACTTGAGAGGATGCTCTACACACAATGCCCCTTTGGCCATCAGCTACTCTTACTCTTTGAAAGTGTTTCACTTCCCCCTGTAATAAACATGGCCTGTCTTCTACACCACACTCCGTAGATCTTGTCTGAATTCTTTCAACAGACATCACAGGCACACTGGCCTCAGAGAGGATAGCTGAGGAGGACATGAGGCAAACAAAGGAAAGTAGGAGAAGTAGGTGCACAAGGTGAAGGAGACAGAACAACAGAAGTGAGCCGCACCAGTGGTGGGAGGGAAGGGGTTGTGTTGGCTACAGGTGGGTCATAAAACATCCTAAAGGAAGTTCTTGCCTGGGTGGGCCTAGCTAGCATCGCCCAAGCAATCAAATGGAACCACTGTGTCGGGGATGTCTTTCTGTATGCTGTGAATATATATGTTGCTCTGATTGATTGATAAATAAAACACTGATTGGCCAGTAGCCAGGCAGGAAGTATAGTATAGGTGGGATAAGCAGAGAGGAGAATTCTGGGAACAAGAAGGCTGAGTCAGGGGATGCTGCCAGCCACCGCCATGAAAAGCAAGATGTAAAGATACCGGTAAGCCACAAGCCACAGGGCATAGTATAGATTTATAGAAATGGGTTAATTTAAGATGTAAGATGTAGCTAGCAAGAAGCCTGAGCCATTAGGCCATACAGTTTAATTAATATAAGCCTCTGTGTGTGTTTACTTAGGTCCAAGAGGCTGCAGGACTGGCAGGTGAAAGAGATTTGTCCTGACCACAGGCCAGGTGAAACACAGGAAAACATCAACTACACCACTGTGCCCACATCCATTTCAGGTACACATTTTGCTGTTTCTCAAATATCTCGAATAGACAGACAGCTTCCCCATGGGGCATTTCCCTGACCAGGTGACTGGCAGGCCCATTTGAATTAACTCAATTCTGGAGTAGAGCTGGAGACTCCATTTTTAGATTACTTGCTAGCTACCAGCCAGACATCAGCTTCTTTCCACACTAGGCCTCATCATATAGCTAGCTACTCCTAAGATCCAGCTTGCGGGGGCGGAGGGGGTACGTTCATGTTTTGGGGTTGGTTTATTTATTTATTTTTTTTTAGTTGTTGTTTTGTTCTATTGTCTATAGCCCAAGCTGGTCTGAAAGTCAAGACAACTCTCTGGTCTCAGCCTCACAAGTACTAGGATTACAGGCAGGGGCTATAAAAGTAGCTTTAATTTTTTTATTTATTTCAAACTTAACTATTAAAAGAAATCACATAACAAAATTAACCTGATCCAAAAACTATAGAGCTCAGTGAACTTCTATATAGTGAGAGCAGCCTTTTATGCCAGAAGCTGGAGACCTGCACATTAGATTTTATACTTTTACCATCAAATACATTTTTATGCATTTACCCATCATCAAAAATAAAAAAAAATCTGAGTTAAAACTAGAGAACAGTTTTATCCTATTTCATAATTCATGTTCATTACTGAATTCAATCCTTCCTTATCCCCTAATACTTAGCTATTTTTGTTATCTTCATGTTTCTTCATGTTATACTATACCCCTATGTACATTTGTTTACATCTATACATGTATTATATTATTGGCTAGATGCTGCACATGAGAGAAAACGTGGTCTCACTTAATATTAAACATTCTAAGTCCATCCAATTTCTTGCAAATTAACGTTTTCATAATCACTTTTGGAAGCGTCATTTCATCACTTCTATCGTATGCTCCTGGTTACCAGGCTATGAGTACTACTGAGTGCCGACCACCAGAGAAAACCTGGAGACTGGTTTCACAGACTGGCTCAGTAGTAACCAAACATCATGAACTTCCATGAGGCAGAAAGTTCCTCAGACACGAAGGGACTCTGGCCAGCCTGAATGTGGCAAGCTTGGCTCTGGCAGCCTTGCCCTTCTCCCCCAGTCCCTCTGCCTTGTTAAAAACCATTAGATTATATTCGTAAAGCTAGCCACCAAGGCCTATTCCCTTATTTGGCCATTTCTTCCTCCCGAAACTGACTACCAAGGTCCAGCTATCAAAATATTGAAGTCCAGCAATCATGAGCCCCCTTAGATTCACTAATTAACATGCCCAATTACAATTAAACACCTCACCCTACCATGGGGTTTCCCCTTGTACCTATGTGCCATGTCTGTCTCCTCTCTATCCAGAGGTAGCCCTTTGTCTTCCAGGACAGATACCCCTGCTCCCTCTCCCTTGTCCCCTTCCACTTCTCCCTAGTCCTCTACCTCCTGTCTTTGTCTCTTATTCTCTGCTCTCTGGTCCCTCTGGGGCAAATAAATCTCCATGGTGTTAAGAACTTGGTCTTGGGGCTCCTGAGCCAATACATTTCCTTTCAAGAAAACATAGTTCAAAGTCCAAAAGAACTTTCTAGAAATGAACAGTAAGAGACATCAAACTGAACAGATAGAGATATAGGCACCTGAGAAATGCCAATCATCCCAAGCAATCAAAGAAGTGAACATAATGTCCAAGAAGTAAGCTGGAGATGAGTCTAACTTCAGACAAGCACTTCCTCCCTCGGAACCTCCTTCTCTGGCAGCAAATGAGGAACCTGGAGCACACTGGTAGCACTAACAGTGTGCTCTGTTCTTCCCAGTGTACTTCCCTGAACTCATCTTGCTCACATAGCAAGGAGCAAAGCTTATTTGGAAGAGCCTTTGGCACCATTACAAATGGATTCACACAGCAGCAGCAAATTCTCAGCCCCAGCTGGAGCTCTGAAGATCTCTCCGATTAATGTGTTTAACAAGTGACTGGCTCTTTCCCGGGGCCTCTTGTGAAATATGCTTTCCTGTCTGGTAACCATCATGCTTTGTGGGTTGGAACAAAGTAAACCTGAGACTGAACAAGGCGGCTTCAACCATTCTCTTACAATTAAAAACTCTTGTCCTTTCCTGGTCTTTTCATTTGAACCTCTGACGGTATTAATAGCGCTTTCTGAGGAAATAAACTCCCTGTGAGTGAATTCAGTCAAGTCATTAAACAATCCATCCCCTGGCCTAACCAGAGCCTCGCTGCATGTTTCCAAGCTACGCCCTTCATGTGATACTCATACTGCCTAAAGCTAACTCAAGAAACCCCAGAGGTTCAACTTTCAAAATACGCCAGGACCCCCTCCCCTGCTGGCACTGTCACCTCTTCCCTAGGTCACTGGAGCAATCTATTAGCTGGCTTCTGCTCATCTCCTTTTCTGTGTCTGCATCCCAAACACTTCACATACAGAGTGACACGTAAAGTGTAGGTCATCACCGCTCCTTTGGAAACATGCCAGCCTACTAAGCTTTTTGTCAGCCTGATACAAGATAAGAGTCATCATGGAAAAGGAGCCTCAGTTGAGAAAATGCCTCCATCAGACTGGCCTGTAGGCAAGCCTGTAGGGCGCTGTCTTGGTTGGTGATTGATGTGGGAAGACTGAGCACACTGGGAATGGTGCCATCCCTGGGCAGGGAGTCCTGGGTTATAAAAGAAAGCAGTCTGAGCAAGCCCATAAAGACTCATTACTCCATGGTCTCTCTTTCAGTTCCTGCCTCCAGGTTCCTGCCCTGCTTGAGTTCCTGTCTTGGCTTCCTCTGATGATGGAATGTGGCCTGTAAGTCAAATCAACCCTTTCCTCCCCAGGTTGCTTTTGGTCATGGTGTTTATCGCAGCAAAAGAAAGCCAATGAAGAAGACACATGTAATGGCCTCCATGTCCCACAGAGCAAAATCCGATCTCTTAAATGCTTTTCAAGATCCCACAAAAGCTGTCCTTGTTACTTCTGGTGCCTCATTCCCAGGCTCTCCCCCTATTTAGCCTTTAATAGTTCTCTTACCTCTTTGCTATTGATCCTTTGGACCTTTGAGATTTGGATCAGCCTCTGTCTAGAATACCCTTTCTCTATTATCTACTTGTTTCAACTTCTATTTTCTTCCATCTTTGCTCAAATCTAACCTTTTCAGAAGGCCTATCTTGTCACTCCATGTAAAATTTTGAGGTTCCTTCCTTCCATTCTTTGCTCTACCTTCTACAAAAAAAAAGAATTGCTTAAAGATGAAAAGAAATTATTTTTGCTGAGTCAGAGTCAGTGTGAAGTCACAGGCTGAATAGAACAGAGAATGTGTGTCAATGGGATGTCATCTGAGATCCATCATTTGAGAAGCCAGGATCCTAGCTTTCAGAAAACAACTACCATGGTTAGCCTGAGGTCATGCTGTGTATCCTCTACTGAAAGAGGATGCTAAGCTCACATTCCTGCTACTGTGACAGAACAGAAGAAGCATTCTCCAAAGTGCCACAGAATTGGTACTGGGTTCATATTAAGTCTAGCAGAAGCAGGAGCATGAGGGGAAAACACTTGGTGAGGCTGGAGGTGTGCTTGAGAAACTCCTGTTGCAGACAAGGTGGGGGCACTCTGGAACATGAAACTCATGTACTCAGAGTGCAAATGAGGTCACTCAACAAATGTCCACGGCAAAACGAACAGGCTCTCTGGTACCGCTGGCTTTCTTTTACATTGGCTTGCTTTTTCTTTTCAAGTGTTAAAAGAGAAACTAGATTTTCACTCTGCTGCAGACATGGACTAGCTAATTTTGATAAACTGGGGAGTTGTGTTTATAGGATTAGAAAACAGGAACTATAACAAGAAAAAACTATGGGAAGCAAGTATGTCACACAGCTCTAATACCAGCACTCCAGAGACAAAAAGATTATTAAGGTTGGGCCCAGCCTAGACTACAAGGAGAGATTCTCTCAAAAACAAATCAACCCATGGAAATGTCCTTTGCTCTGAGTCTTTTTATTTTCCATATGAAAATGCAGGGATGTGAACTAGAATCTTGGTAGTTCATGTTGATTCTTGGTTACATTCATCCTGCCATTCCAGAAGACTAGGGTGGGCATCTACCAACTCCAACTTCAGAGACAATGCTACAACTGACTTGGTCTGTGCACCCTGAAAATAGCACTGAAGCAGCTGGCCCTGTGGGGCCTTTCACACCAAGTCAGGTGTCTTCGAGGTCTGCTTCTCCCTCTGCTTCTTTGCCTGGACCTGGGATTCACTGCTGACTGGGGCTCATGCTCATTACCACCTAGACTTAGGGAATTCCACTACTGGCAACTGCAATGGAAACTCAGCCTGTCCAAATGGTGTCAGCCATGCACTATAGCCAAACAGGAGAGCATTGGGAAAAAAGCTGAGCTGTCTCTGCCTTGTGGGGTTTTGTGGATGCCTACCTGTCAGGCCATGTTAGCAAATTCAGTAACATGTGCATGTAATATGTTCAGACGTGAAAGTCATCAAATACAATTTACTGTACACCTACTCTGGATCAACCCCCTTGTCAGGCCTCCACAGAGCCCATGCTTTAGAAAGAAAACATCTTTGTTTTAAAAATAAAGGCAATGCCAAATGCAAGTTGCTCTAACAGGTCACGGTTGTAGGAAAACAGAAAGCATGGTCAGTTCCTCCACTTTAATGTTGGGCAAGTTTTCATACCCTGTAACTAACAAGCAGACAGTTCCTAGCTGAGGAAACTGCATTTTCAGAATCCCAAGGGATAAAAGGACCCAGAATATCCTCATTCCTAGAATCCATTATCCTGACAGTTTGGGGATTTGTCTTGTAGGTGACAGAGCGCCAACAAGGGACAATAAACAATAGAACACAAAATAAATAAATAGGATTGAAATGTGGCTTTTAAAAAGACTAGTCTAGCTCAATGTTTATTTTGTTTTTGTTGTGTTTGTGGGATATTTGTACACTGTGAAAATGTATTGCTGTGATTGGTGTAATAAAAAGCTGAACAGCCAATAGCTAGGCAGGAAGTATAGATAGGCAGGACTTCTGGCCACAGAGAGGAAGTAGAAGGAAATAATCCAGGCACAGAGAGATGTCAAACATCAATGAGACATGGAGGGAATTGAACATACAGTAAGAAAGGAAAGTAAAAAGCCACGAGGCAAAACGTAGATGACTATAAATGGATTAATTTAAGTTATAAGAGCTAGTGAAGTTATAAGAGCCGGTGGGACAAGCCTAAACCAAGGCCAAGCTTTCATAATTAATAAGAAGTCTCCTGTGTCGTTATTTGTGAGCTGGCAGCCGACAACAAAGCTTGCTACTACGCAAGGCCTTACTATCTAGTTCTGGCTGGGCTGGAGCTCAAAATACTGACCACACTCACAGAGATGCACCGCCTCTGCCTCCCCAGTACATCACCGTGCCAGTCCAAGCAGATCAGGTGGCTGCTGCGAGAAAGCAGTTAGCCCAGAAGGAAAACAATTCAACTCTGAATTAAGGCAGTCAATGAGAGACACAAGTTACAGGCACACAATGAAGAAGGACACAAGTTAGAGCTATTCAGAAACTAAAATCAAAAAAGAGGGAGCCAACAAGGACGCGCCCATGTTTTTGGCTAAGGCAGATAGGTGCTAGTCAAGATTCTATTACAGTCCGAGGGGCAAGCATGTGAGGAACGTAAGCTCTGAGAGAAACATTCACAGTTCAGGCTATGGAGAAGGCTTGCCAGGACAGCAGCAGCCTGAAGCCCTTTGCCATGTTTACGTTTGGGAAAAGGGGTTTAAGCAGCAGCAGCAGCACATTTCCTGGGAGGGGCTCCCAGGAGGGCCAGGAAGGGATAGCTGTTGAGACATGACTCTTTCTTCCCCTTCTGTGTACTTGCTGTGATGTTTTGATGAAACTGCAGACTCTCGGCAGGAAAGCCTGTGATTAGCGTAGTGTGCAAGCAGGAAACCCAAAGTGGGGAGAGCAGCCTTGGCAGATGGCCAGCCATGGTTAGCACAGTTCCTGGGGTCTCAGAAGTTGCTTGGGAGCTCACTGGGCTGTAGCCTAACTCCAGCTGAAGGATTTCTGAGAGGAAATCATAGTAGGATTTTCATACTTGGGGTTTAGGGACCTTTCTTTTATGTGCCTAGCACTTTAGAGTTTACAAAATGCTTTTACACTCATTGTTAACTTTTATTTTCACCAAGACATGTAGTATTCTTCCCAATCCATGTGTTTTCAAACAATACTTGGGAGTTATAAGCGGACTTTTTTTCAAAAGTGCATAGCTAGAAAGTGCCAAAACCATTGACCTAGATTAGATATTTTATGTTGGCAAAACAATTGGGAAGTAAAGGTCTTATTCTGGGTGAGGATGCAAATGGAGCCAGCTTTTCACAACACACTGTCAGAATCATTTAACTGTGGTTAGCCTTTCATCTGGCAGTTCTAATTCTGGTTCCCTGTGCCAACCTAGGCTCACCTTAAAAAGCAAAGCTCGAAGTGAATCCAACATTAAAATGTGATCCCTGTGGCCTTAGGGAAGAGTGAAAAAGCAATCCAAGGACACATTACCAAGCCGGTCACCATTGTGTGCAAAGGGGACCTGATCCTGCTGGAACCCTCTAAGGGACACAAAGACTTCTGAAAGGCAGAGGGGGAAATGTATTCACAGGCTCTCACCTACATTGGTTTCTCCACAGAATGTTAACTCATACTTTGTGGTTTACCAGATGGGTTCCCAGAAGTATCCCAAAATGTATTTGCATATCGGCTATGTAGTTAAAAACAAGGTCAGTGGTAAGCTGGGACTGATGCTGGTGCTGTCACTGGAATACAGATCTCTGAAAAGTGCAATTTCAGAATCTGGAAGTTATAGTTCCATAGAACTGGACTTAACAAGAACAGAATCCAGACCCCTTGGAGGTTCAAGGGGAGCCTATCAAGAAATTAACAAGGTGTTTTGATTCTCTGCCATGGGAGACTTTCCCTGTTCCATGGCACAATGACCTCATAATGCCAGATATTCTGTTGGGCAGTGTAGCCAGAGGACAGCAGAGAAAAGGCTCTCTGTATCCAGTGTCAAACACAAATGATTATCAAAAATTCAGTGCTTCTCAACCGTAGTAGCTATAGGATTCACCTGGAAACCTGCTGTAAAGTTAAACTCCTGGGTCCCGCCTAGAAATATCAATTTGTGTCTCATAATAACCTACCTAAATAAACCTAGATTTCCCATTTTCAATCCCTCCAGCAATTCCTCTGTAGGTGATCCAGAAGCACACTTGATAAACACTGGCCTTGAACCTAGACTCTGAGTCCTGAGAGAGGAGAACTTGTGCCTATCCCTGGTTCTCTATTTAATACCCTATTTAATCCAGGGACCAGGTAATTGTTCACTGAATTGTTCAAAACCAACCCTCTAAAAGTGTTTCAACATGCAGAAATTACCAAACCAAACTAGTGGGAAATCATGAAAGTTGGATCAATGGCTGTGGAGCCTACATGGGACTGGACTAGGCCCTCTGCATGGCGAGACAGTTGTGTAGTGTGATCTGCTTGGGGGGCCCCCTGATGGTTGGATCAGAATCCATGCCTGGTGCATGAGCAGACTTTTTGAAGCCCACTGCCTATGATGGGACACCTCGGGCAGCCTTGAGGCAGGGGGAAGGGCTTGGACTTGCCTCTACTGGATGTGCCTCCCCATGGGAGGCCTTGCCTTCTTGTGGGTTGGAGTGGGAGGTGAGTTGGGAGGAGGAGGCTGGGGGCGGGGGGCGGGAGGAGGGAAGAGGGGATCTTTGACTGGTGTGTAAAATGAATGAAAAAAATTTCTTAAGAAGGTGTTTCAAATAGGGTCAGCTCAAATCTGTGGCCTCTCTGTACCGTTAGGCCATGGGACTCTATGGAAGTGGTCTAGAAAAGGGGATTCAAACTCACTAAAATCTAACTGATAATCCATGAGACCAAATAATTCATTAACATGTAAAAAACAACTACAAACTATTTGAATAATATATTTTCTCTTAAGAACAAAACCCATCTATGAAACTAATCTAGCTCCAGGTTGTTTGCCAGACAAAAGAGTAAAGGACCCTTGAGCTCTCGAGCTCGGGCAGACCACTAAGCATCTTACCTACGTCTGCTTTCAGATAAAAACACTCCCTGCTTAAAAAAAAAAAAAAAAAGAGTAATTGTAATTTAATAAATGCTAGGCTTAAACTATTAACATGACAAAATGTATGAGATAATATACATTAAATACTGTATAACTGAAAAGCATTATAGAAAGTAAGTTATTACCATGTTGGGAAATATGCTGAAAACATTTCATTTGGGGGTAATATGTGCAAGATCTGGAGCCAAACGCAAGAGGAAACGGGAAACAACCGCTGTGCTTCCCTAAGCCCGGGTTTTCTAAAACAGAAATAATGCTAGTATCTACCTCGGAAGTTTTGTGAGGATTCAGTCTATGTATGTGTTCCATTTCCTCTACTTCCATTCTCAGTGTTAATAAATGGTTCCCTTTCTGCTCCCATCACGGGCTCTAATGTCAGACACTTAACACACTAGTACAAACACATGGTGGTAGGCAGCATGGGTCTGTCAAAACGCTCTGGGGCGCATGTTGTCACTTTAGACATCTAAGCCTTGGTGTACACACAGAAAACTACAGACGGCCCTTAACAACTTGGTTCACTGATCTCCGGTCTTCAACCGTCGATACTAAATGTTCCCAACACGTAGACCTATCGCCTAACTCTTCGAACTTGGAAATGAACGGTACGGACAATGCACGGATCTTACTGAGGAGGGTCAAGAGATAATGTGGGTGTTTCCTGAGGTCCGTGGCAAGACCCTCAGAAGAATGTGCTGCTGCAACTCTGCTTTCCAGTTAGGATGGACTAGTGGCCTGGAAGGAGGGGCAGGAAGGGGCCGTCGGGAGAAAACGAAACAGCAGCCTTACTTTCTGGAAGATGCAAAGAAGAGCACTGAGCATGTCTGGACTTTGGACTAAGTCAGGGTGTCATGATGAGGGGTCCCAGCAGCCAAGGCTCCCGGAAGTGGGTGGGCCCCCCAAACCCGAGAAGCGCACGCGCACTGAAGTCGCAAAGCCCCTCTGGGTCCGGTAGCTTACGTCAACGTCTACGTGAAAGACGTAAGGGATCTCGCGGGGAGGGGAAAAAAAAAAAACCCGGCCGGGCCGCGTCACGTGACGGGTGCGCCGGGCGTTGGCTCCTCCCTCCCCAAGATGGCGTCCCTGCTGCAGTCGGAGAGGGTTCTCTATCTCGTCCAAGGAGAAAAGAAGGTTCGGGCCCCGCTCTCGCAGCTCTACTTCTGCCGCTACTGCAGCGAGCTGCGGTCGCTGGAATGTGTGTCGCACGAGGTAACCGGGCCGTTCCGCTGGGGGGCTGCGCGCCGGGGCGGGGGGTGGGGGGGTGCTCTTCCCAGCCACTGCGGCTGGCGGGAAGTTCCGCCGGGAGAGGCGGGGAAACCGTGGGTCTAGCTGCCTGATTGGCCGAGTGCCCTATCCCTCATCGGCGCTTGCGATTTCATTGGCTTGTAAATTGTCACTTGGAAAAGGGGCGGCCCCGGGTGGGGCTGAGCAAGATCCTCTTGTTCCAGAGGTGCCTGTGTAGCTGGACAGATTGGCCCTGGACCCTGCGGTCGCCTCGGGGACTTGCGGATGATTGAGGGCTGGGAGATAGGTCGGGGGTTGTCTAGCTCGAGTCTCTGAAAGGCAGAGGAAGCTCTTGTCTCATCGTTAGTGCACCGACAGCCCCTCTCGCTCGTGGCCCTCCCCTCTGAGAAGTCCTGACCCTGCTTTTAACCAGAAGCGGGGGCCCTGTCCAAACAGCTTACCAGGTTTCCTAAGCCAGGCCAAGGACTGAGGCAGGAAGACTGTGTGACAGGTTGATTTGAGTAGCAGACGCATAGAGTAGTCTAATGAAAAAGAAGCTCGGAGTTCTATTCACGGACCCAGATGGTCGTTGGAATTGTTCACCTACTTGCAAAGTCCCAAACCTTTTGCTGCTTTTGGCAGGACTTGTATTTCTACTGCCCTGCCGTTGTGAATCTCAACGGTCTGGTGGAAAAGCTCATAGAAATAATGGCTGAGTTTATTCCGTATTTAACTGTGTGGCAAAGGCTTTGCATAATCTTTCCAGCTAATGAAGGTGGAGGCTTGGGTTTGGGAGATTTTGGATGGGGGTGAGGGGTATTGAGTCAGTGTTTCATGGAGCCCAAGGTAGCCTCAAGCTTACTGTGTAGCCAGTGCTGGCTTTTAACTCCTGGTTTCCTGCCTTCACCTCCCAAGTGCCATGATTATCAGTGTACACCACCATGTCCAGCTGTTGAAGGTGCGTGTTGTTGCAAGAAGGGGAAAAAAAAAAGCTGTATTGCGGTGACTCAGGCCTATAGTCCTAACACCCGGGAGGCTGAAGCTAGAGAGGAATGCTGTGAGTTCAAAGCAAGCATTAGCTGCATAGTAATTTCTAGGACAGGCCGCTACAGTGTGAAACGCTTTCTCAAGGCTCACACCCCACCCCAAAATGTACAGGTTAAGAAGCAAACCCAGAATGTTTCTGGTAGATCACAGAGCTGTTTAGAGGTTTGAAGGAAGATGTGAATCATAGACTAGGATCTCTGGGTGGGGGAAATGCATGTGAAAACATGGCCTGTGGTGTTAACCATTTTACATGTTCTCTTATTGGGGATACTTTCTAATCTATTAAAAATGGTTAAACAGAGAGTATAAGAAATCCAAACCCAGTCGTATTTATACATACTTACATATTTATGTCATAGATGTGACTTTTCTTGGATTTCGCATTAGCACTTTGTGTGATAGCTAGAATTGTGTAATTATCAAATAAAACCTACTTACTACATAAAATACTTTTTTATAAAATCTTTTTTTAAAAAGAGAGGATCTAATATCTCGACTGTGTTTTGAGCAAAGTACAGTAAGATGATTGTTGTTCGGTTTGTTACTCAAAAAGTCTCTGACTGGGGAACTGAAGAGATGGCTCAGCAGGCGAAGGCTCTTGCTGCCAAGCTAACAGTCTGAGTTGGGTCCCCAGGACCTCCGTGGTGCAAGGAGAGAACCAGTTCCTGTGAGTTGTCTTGGCATCTCCATATGCTACGAGCTGTGGTACCTACCTCATCACATCAGCACAAAACAAATTTAAGATAAGTCGATGAAAATCTCTAGTTTGGGGGCTGAGGTGATAGTTCAATTGGTAAAATGCTTACAAACATCCCAACACATACATATGAGCTAGGCACGGTGGCACATAATCCTATTGCAGGCCAGCCAGCCTTATCAACTTGGTAAGCGCCGGGCCAATGAGAGACCCTCTCTTATAAAAAAGGAGGGGCAGGGGGCAGTGCTTGAGGTTGTAACACCTGAGAGTTTCCCATGACCTTCACACACATGCACACACAGAAAAATTTAAGAAACAGACCTCTAATTGGCTGGCTATAACTGTAAATTTTTATATATACTTAGTAAATATATTACATCACTAATGAGAAAACTTGATGCCTTCAAGAGCTACCTTACTTTAAAAAAAAAAGATGTTATGATGAATGTTTTGCCTGCATGTATATCTGTGTACCATGTACACGCCTGCTGCCTGTGGAGGTCAGAAGAAAGCATAGGATGGGCCACCCTGTGGGTGCTGCTGAGAATCTAACCCCAGTCCTGCAAGAGCAGCAAATGCCCTTAATCACAAGCCATCTCTCCAGACCCAACTTAATGTCTTTTAACAAAGGTATTGCTGAGTTCATTGTAATGTAATCAAGCCAAACTAGATGGGAGGCTGATCACAGCTTTACACTTGCATTATTAATCAACTCATTAGACCATAGAGTTATTCATTTAGAAGCTTTGAAGTATCATGTAGACAAGTCTTGACATAGCTCATGTGTAAAGCTTGATGATAGGGAACAGAACATAAGAGAAAGAAAAAGGATTAAAAGAGAAAATTCAAAACCAACAACAGAGAGGTAATTGCTTAGTTGGAAACAGTCAAGGCATTTTGTCTGTTTTTTCCCAGATCAGTAATGTCTTACCTTCTGGTGGGGTATAGCATATTTTAATAATAAATTTCTTTTTCCTCTGATTTTTTTTTTTTTATTTCCTCATAGGTGGATTCACATTATTGTCCCAGCTGCTTAGAAAACATGCCATCAGCTGAAGCCAAATTAAAAAAGAATAGGTAAGAACAGGACAAATTTTTCAGTTTTCCATTTGTTGTTGGTTTTATGGGCACTGAGGCTGAACAGGGTCTTATTTTATAGATCAGATCTCAAATTTTGATTCCTCCAGCCTAAGTGCTACGATTACACCACAGTTGTTTTAAATAACTGGTAAGAAAACACACAGGATTAAATTTTTTCCTGTTTGAGCATCACCGTTGCCTAAGATACCCTGTGTAGCCCTGGCTGTCCTGGAACTCACTCTGTAGACTAGGCTGGCCTCGAGCTCAGAGATCCACCTGCCTCTGCCTCCCAAGTGCTGGGGTTAAAGGTGTACGACACCACTGCCTGGCTTTGATTTTATTTTTTTAATAAAGTGTCTTTATTAGGAAACCTCTAAGAATTATTTGAAAATAGTGCAGTCCTCCCCCTTCGTTAAGAAACAGTATTGATTTAGTTATGTCACCACAGGCTTCTTGTGGTTGGGACTGTTTCTCAACTTTCTCTTGAGTTTAAAAGTATCGAGGGATCTCGGTGCAGCATCTATCAGATAGACTGCCCTCAGTGACTGTGATGTTTTTCTCACTAGCCAGGAGAATGGGTCAGAGTCCCGAGTTAGACTCCCCTCTCAAAGTCTAGCTATGTAAATGTTTAGGACTTTTTCCATATTCTGCCTCTTTTCTCTATTTAATCATTACTCGTGAATGTTTATTTTCTACATCAGATTTTTAAATCTGATACTGATTTACTTTGTTGGTTTTTCTCCCTCGCCTGCTCTATCTTTGGCCACTGGGAGCTTTTTTACGTTTCTCCTGTCCCCCTGCAGCCTCTGTCATTAGAAAAGAGAGAGTGTTGTCAGGTTCCTTTTATTTGAGCAGTTTCTTACCAGTGTACTTCTGTAAGGTATTTTAAGCTTAGCTGGTCTGTTTTCTGCCTCTAACTTAGAATTTGTTATTTCTCAAAGAAGCTTGGTTCTTTTTACTAGAGGACATGAAGAACCAAGACCTGGCTGCTAGATGTAGTCTTTGCTCCTAGCTACTGCTGGGTTTTTAGGTTGGTGTGAAAATTCTTGTTACCAGCCATATTCCTGTTCATTTGTGGTTGTGAGCCACTGTTATTTGTCTTCTTGCTCCAGGAAATAGCTCCTGAGAATTAGATGCTGTATTGTATGCTTTCTATATGTTCATCTATCACTTAATTTTTCAATGATTCTGTAAGGTGGTGGAATTACAGAGAGCAGTCTGTAACAGATAATCGATACTGATCTACAAGACTGCAGGTGAAATCTTGATAATCTCGGGCTGTGGGAGCTCTGAAAGCACTGGGTGTGGTTGCTCACAACTTAACCCTAGCACTTAGAGCCAAGGGCAGAAGGATCACAAATCCAAGACCAGTCTGAGCTCAGTAGACTTTGTTTCAAACAAACAGCCAAAGGCACCAGGGTCCAGGGCTCCCAAAGGGAAGTGTTATCGGATGCATCTCAGGAGAGAACAGAGTGCCCCACTGTGACCACACCTCTTCCATGGTGGTGTCTGTTCCCTGCAAGTGCCCCACTTGGACCACGCCCCTTCTCTGGTGGTGTGTTTCAGCTCTCTGGCACAGCAGCCAAACAGTAATTTTCCAAATCAAGTTTCACAGTTGCTTATGTTGTTTGCCCTGAGTTTTCTGTCACACAATACTCTATCCTCGAACAGCATAAACTATGACATTTGCTTTTTCCTTTAAAATCTCTGTGTTCTGTATAGCCATTAAAAAAAAAAGTGGAATAATAAACTCCACCTAGAAACAGTGATTTTTCTCTGTATAGGAGATGGAGTTGGACTCTTAATTTGTCACAAGCTTTGGTGATAATTGTTTTGTTTTTAAGTGAACATATAACATATAGTGCTTTTGAAATGTTAAACTTGGTAAAAGTACCCCCAAAAAATTTTTTTTTCACCTTTGAGAGTCTTTGAATTTCTAACATTTGGACCATAGTTTCCTAAATTGTGAATTGTGACCATGTATGGGTTCATGTAGCTAGATGTGAGAACTTTAAGAAGTGGACAGAGGCGAAAGGTTTCTGAAACAAAATCTAATTCAGAGTCAAACATGTAATCAATGAGGTGTTCATGACGGGCGTGTCCATATTACACTGGACTACTTCATTACAGCCTCGGCTCTGAACGCAGCCCGTGGATTTGGAACTCCTGCTGCTACAGTCAGTGCTGCCCGAAACACCTCGGCTCCCAGTTGAGACTACTGTGGCTTATGAAGTGCAGGGGGTTTGGCACATGCAAAGCTCTTTGCTATAATACAAACATTAGCTTGATCATAGAAAGCAAAGACAACATTTCCTTCCATCCTCCTCAGTGTGTATCAAATCACAGCTCTTTGGTTTGTATCGGATAAGAATGTTTGGGGGCGGGGGTTGTTGTTGGTTTGTTGTTATTGTTTTCAAGACAGGGTTTCTCTGTGTAGCTTTAATGATGATCATCATCGCCATTATTTTTAAATAGGGTTGGAAAAGAGTAAAAAAAAAAAACAAGTATAAGGAAATCTGCTACTTTGCAGGCTCAAATTTGAAAACTTAATATACACACCAAAAAAAATGATCAAATGCATTTTGGCTTGGGATTAGGACAGAATTTCTAACAATTTCTGAAATGGCCCTAAACACACTTGTGTCATTTTATACTGTGTATTTATATAAAGCATTGGCAATTACAAAATCAAAATATCAGCTCTGAAAAGCATTGAAGATTCTCTCTCCTGCATGACCAACTCTGTAGCAAAGATTTAATCATTATATAAAAATAAACAAGCACGCTTACTAGTATACAAATTTGCTTTTATCTTTACTAAATGGTAAAATTATATGTATAACAAATTGTAAATTTTTCTTGATTTATTAGCAGTAAATGTTTTATTTGTATACCTATTTTACAAAAATATATACCAGAGATTATGTGAAAAGCTTCTCCAGTGAAAGCGCTCAGAAGTAGAACAAGTTGAAGAGATCCTGAACTAAACCAATGTCTAGCACACAGTAGGTGCTTGCTAAGTATTGGCTGAACAGAGGTTGTCTGTCATGTCACAGATGTGCCAACTGCTTTGACTGTCCTGGATGCATGCACACTCTTTCCACCCGGGCAACAAGCATCTCCACACAGCTTCCAGATGACCCAGCCAAAACCACCATGAAGAAAGCCTACTACTTGGCCTGTGGATTTTGTCGATGGACTTCTAGAGATGTGGGCATGGCAGACAAATCTGTAGGTGAGTGAGATGTACTTAAACGTGAGATTTTGTTCTGCTGTCAGTGCATAATCCCCATAGACTATCAGCTCCGTATCTGGTGGGCTGTAGAACCTAAGTTCAGAACGGTTGTCAGTAAATCTTCTGTGTACCCAGAGCCTCACATTTTATGGATCATGGTTTTTCTTCTCTTCTTCTTTTTTTTTTCCCCCTTGGTCTTTCAAGACAAGGTTTCTCTGTGTAGCTTTGGTGCCTGTACTGGATCTCACTCTGTAGCCCAGGCTGGCCTTGAACTTACAGAGATCTGCCTAGCTCTGCCTCCTGAGTGCTAGGATTAAAGGCATGTGCCACCACCGCCCAGCCCTTGGATCATAGTTTTTCTTTTCTTTTTTTTTTTTAATTGATTTATTTAACTTTATTTTATGTGCATTGGTGTGAAGGTGTCAGATCCCCTGGAACTGTAATTACAGACAGTTGTGAGTTGCCATGTGGGTGCTGGGAATTAAACCCAGGTACTCTGGAAGAGCAGCCAGTGCTCCTAACCACTGAGCCATCTCTCCAGCCCCTGGATCATAGTTTTTCATCTCAGATAGAGTAATACTATTCAGTTTCTTAGAGTTGGTAAAGTAGCTTTTATGACTCTAATACTAGAATCAAACTTAACACCATTTATTGTAAAATATATATATATATATATATATATATATATATATATATATATATTTATTGGGCTAGGGATATAGTTTATGAAGCCCTAGGTTCAAGTCCTAGCACTGCATAAATCAGGTGTACTCCTCGCACATGTAATCTCAGCATTTCAGAGGTAGAGGCAGGAGGATAAATTCAGGGTCATTCTCAGCTGCATATGGAGCTCAAAGCCACCCTGGGCTATGTGAAACCCTGCTTCAAACGTTATTTTTTTAATCTGAAATTTAAACATCATGGACAAAATTAAAAGTGATAAACTTAGAAAAACAGACTAAACATGGCTAATGAAAATTGAAGGACCCTTATCAATCAATTCAGGAGAATCAGAAGGAAAACAGCAAAGGATTTGGACAGCAGGTCTCATAACTGAACATAAAAGTGATCGTCTTAAAAGTTGTTCATCTTACTACAAATTATGAAAATGCTATTCCTCAAATATTTTTTAAATCTGATTATATCATGTTAGTCAGACACAGGATAATTCTCATATTACCATCTTGGAGAACAATTTGATGATCCCTATTTACTTATTTTTATTTATGTTTGTTTGTGTGTGCATGCCTGTTTAGAGGCCTGTTAGAGAATATTGTTTTAAGGTGTGTTACTTTTGTCTATGTTTGAATTTGTTTAACTCTGTGAAGCTGTGTTACTGTACTTGTCTAAAACATCTGATGGTCTAATAAAGAGCTGAACAGCCAATAGTGAGGCAGGAGAGAGAAATAGGCGGGGCTGGCAGGCATGAGAATATATAGAAGGAGAAATGTGAGGGGAGAGAAGAAAAAAGAAGTAGCCAGAGAAGGACAATATTAGGGTTGAGCCACCCAGCTACACAGCAAGCCACAGAGTAAGATTTATGGAAGAGAACTGAAAGAGTCCAAAGGCAAAAGATAGGATAATTTAAGTTAAGAAAAGCTGGCTAGCAACAAGCCAAGCTAAACCTGGGCATTTATAATTAAGAATAAGTCTCCATGTATGATTTATTTGGGAGCTGGGTAGCAGGCTCCCACCCCCACCCCTCTCCCCAAAAGGGAAAAAAAAAACAACCAACAGCAGAGGCCAGAGGACAACTCAGGAGTTGATGCTCTCCACTGTGTGGGTTCTGGGGTGGAACTCAGGTCCTCAGGCTTAGTGGCAAGTGCCTCTAGTTGCTGAACCATCCTGGCAGCCTTATTTATTTACTATTTGAGTCATATCTCACTCTGTCAGAGGCATTAGATCCCCTGGAACTGGAGTCACAGACAGTTGTGAGCCACCCTGTGGGTGCTTGGAGTCAGACCCGGGTGCTCTGGAAGAGCAGCCAGTGCTCCTAACTGCTGAGCTGTCTCTCCAGCCCCTGTTTGTTTATATGGTATGCATTTGGGTATTTTGCATGTGTCACATTCATGCAGTGGCCATGAAAGCCAAAAGAGGGTGTTAGATCTTCTAGAACTGGAGTTACAGTTGCCAGCCTCCACATGGGTGCTGGGGACTGAACCCAGGTCCTCTGCAAGAGCAACAAATGTTCTCAACTGCTGAGCTGCCTTTTAGTGTGTATTTTATTTTGTTTTTGTAACAGTTTCACTCTGTAGCCCAGACTGGTCTCCCCCACCCCACACCCCACCCCACACCCCACCCCGGGACAGGGTTTCTCTGTGTAGCTTTGCACCTTTCCTGGAACTCACTCGGTAGCCCAGGCTGGCCTCAAACTCACAGAGATCCGCCTGCCTCTGCCTCCCGAGTGCTGGGATTAAAGGCATACGCCACCACCACCCGGCTACTCTGTACATTTTTTAATGATCAAGGGTTTTGAGGTTTGTATGGGTTTTGAGTTTGGGGGATTTTGTTTTGCATGTGCAGATCCAGTTGCTATAGCACCCCTTGTTCAGAATTCAGATCATGCTACAGATGAGAGCAGGGTTCCCAGATCCTGCCTACTTCCGGAGTTGGATTCCTGTCTCTACCACTTATTATCCGTGTAACTTTTTAGATCTGTTAACTGTTGGGAGCTTTGGGTTTCTCATCTATAAAATGAGACCAGAGTACCTTACCTCAGAACGTATTATGAGAACAGAAAAAAAAAAAAAAAGTGCTCCATTTCAGCTACCTGGTGCAGACACTGCATACATTGTTGGTGATGTTGGGCTTGATATCCTAGGCCTGTGATCCCAGCTACTTGGGAAGCTGAGGTGGGAGGATTACAAATTCTGAGCTTGCCTGGGATCCAGAGCAAGGCCAGCTTTGGCCACTTAACAAGATTGTTCTCAGACATTTTAGAAAGGATTGGTGAGGTGGCTCAGTGGTGAAAGCTCTTCTGTACGAACTTGACCGCCTGAGTTGTTTAAAGGGCTCGGAGTATAGCGCAGTGGTGGAGTGTGGGCAGAGCCCTAATACCGGAAAGAAAGAGGGAAGGAGAAGGGGTGTGTGTGGTGGTGGTGGGGTTTCTCTTCTGAGCATGCTAGTCCATAAGATTTCTAGTGTTCTTTCTTGGAAATTCTATGGTAACATTTTATGAAAATCAAAAGGTAAAATTACTGTTTAATGTTTATTTTCTAGCTAGTGGCGGTTGGCAAGAACCAGAAAATCCTCACACACAACGGGTAAGTACAAGAACTTAGGCCGCAGAGGATGAAACAGGGAAAGGCAGTGGGTGTGGCCCATGCTGAGAAGTGCCTGTATTTGTGCTGTGGGGCCAGTTACTCACAGAGAGGCATTAAGTCAGTGCTCCTCCTTCTCTGTTAACTTAATTCATGGAAAACAGTCGTGCTTTTGGTTCTGTGTTCCAGTTGTGTTTCAAAAAAGGAATGAAAACAGCTTTTATTGTTTTCTTCCTGTGCCCAACAATGACTAGAAGTTTCGTTTGCTATCAAATACTCTTGGAAGTACAAGCCTGCAGCCCTTTCAGCCCTAGAGACACTGCTGATGTTGGAGGTTCCCTTGCACCAGTAGTGACGCCCACAGCAGCATGGTGGGCATTCGTGCAGTGTGACGCCCACAGCAGCATGGTGGGCGTTTGTGCAGTGTGATGCCCACAGCAGCATGGTGGGCATTCGTGCAGTGTGCACCGCTGTTGGCCTTTTCACCCTGCGTCAGAGCAGTGTGAGGAACTGATGAGCTGCTGTCGGCTGCACGCTGTGCTGTCAAACTGGAAACAAACAGATTTACAGTTCTCCACCTGTAACATCCGCAGAAATTAAAAATACTGACGGTATCCAGGGTGAGAGTGTAGGGAAATGGTTTTCTCACATGTACCAGTGTGCAGTGTAGGTTGATAGGGATCTCTGGAATTCTTTCCTGTGTGTACTTCGTAGATGCTCACCTACAGAAATGCATGGATGTATGAACAAGTACTTGTACTAGTCATGTGTTTGTATGTGTGAAATCTTCAGCATGTCTGATGGGAAAGGGAAAAAAGTTCTCTCCAGGCAAAGTAAAAACTATAGTAAGTCAAGTGAGGGAGAAATTGTGCCTTGTCAACATTTTTTAGAAATTTCAACTAATGAGGTCAACATGTGAGCATTATGCTGCTGTCTGGAGATGCTAGACACAGAGAGGAAAGACTTCCAGTCGAGGAACAGCCTGTAGGCGGAGGAAACAAAGTAAAGTATATAGCAATTCTTTCTGGTTTTTCCAGACAGGGTTTCTCTGTAACTTTTGGAGCCTGTCCTAGAACTCACTTTGTAGACCACACTGGCCTCGAACTTACAGCAGTTCACCTGCCTCTGCCTCCTGAGTGCTGAGATTAAAGGCGTGCGCCGCCACCACCCGGCAGTATATGGTAACTAAGAGAGTGATTGAAGTGGAGTGTGATATCAGCAGATAGAGAAGGTTATTTGAGGCTTGACCTTGTAGACCAAGAAGTTTGAGAAGCCTTTAAATGTTTAAAAGCAAGGAGATGACAGGATCACAGTAGTGTCTTTAAAAAAAAAAAAAAAAAAATTGCATGGCCTGCAGAGGTGGCTTAGTGGTTGAGAGTACTGGGTAACCTTCCAGAGGACGTGGGTTCAATTCCTAGTACCTGCATGGCAGCTAGTAACTCTCTTAGAATTCCAGGTCCAGGGTGTCTTAGTTTGGTGTCTGTTGCTGTGAAAAGGCCATAAGCAAAAGCAGCGTGGGGAGGAAAGGGTTTATCTCAGACTCTCACTCCATCACTGAGGGAAGTCAAGGCAGGAACTGAAGCAGAGGCCATGGAGGAGCACTGCTCACTGGCCTGCCCTGTGGCTTGCTCGTCTGCTTTCTTCTACACCCTGGGACCACCGCTCAAGGGTGGCGCTACCCACGGTACCAGAAGGCTGCTTGTGGTAGGCAGTGAAGTGTGGAGCACATCATCTCAACCCCTCCGTAGCCTTTGCATCCTCTGGTTGGATGTGAAGATTTCATTTCTGAAAACACTGTAATGAGGGGAATAAAGGATGTGGGCCCTCCCACATCAATTATTTATCAAGAAAATGCACTACAGGTTTGCCTACAGGCAATCGGATGGAGGCAATTCCTCAGTTGACATTTCTCCTCCAAGATAACTAGCTTTTATCAGGTTGACAAAACATATCCCAACCAGGACATAAGGGATCCACCACCCTCTTCTGGCCACCACAGGCACTACACATAGATGGTACACAGACATTCATGTAGTCAAAACAACCGTGTACATAAAGTAAATCTCTTCTAAAAAGAAAAAAACATTTTTTTTTGCTGCTGAATTGAGAGGACAAGAATGACACCAGAAGACCATTTATGTCCTGTTATAAGAAATGTTTAAATACCTTTTAGAACATTTGTTCTATGCAGTGAGATCCAGCCTTTAAAAAGAACAAGATAGATGTGTTAGTAATGGATAGAGAGATAGACCAGATGTATGAGAAGTCCATTATACTTGGAGTGAAAAAGAATAGATATTTTATTCCCTTTTACATGAAAAGTAAAGTACTTTGTGGTACAGAGCAAGTTCTATATCTGTACATAGGTGTTTTAAAGTATACCACATGTTCCTAAAGTGTGTCAGAAAGACATAACTGGTAGAAGTGGGTACCTAATGAAAGGTTACATTGAGCGCAAAGGATGAGACAGAGGTGTGGTTTTTTCATTATGTTTGTATGTTTGAATTTTTATAATTAACATAGTGCTTTATGATGAAAAAAATTTAAATAAAAAGTGACAGAAGGCTGGGTGTGATAGATAGTGAAGTATAGACTCATCTTGACTCCTTCATAACCCGTGCATCCTGTGGTTGAATGTGAAGATTTCATTTCTCCTTACAGAAAAAAAGGGGAAGAAAACAACTTGCACACTTCATAACTTCCCTGTTTCTTTATTCATTTTATTTCAAGTCAGTACAGTTGATTGACTGTCAGTCTTTTCGTGAAACAAATAGAGTCTTCCATTTCTTACAGATGAATAAGTTGATTGAATATTACCAGCAGCTTGCTCAGAAGGAAAAGGTTGAACGAGATCGCAAGAAACTGGCACGGCGTAGAAACTATATGCCTTTGGCTTTCTCGGTGAGAATTGGGTAAAGACATTTTGCAAGGCCTGTAAGGCTTTAGAATAGCCACCTTTCAGAAATGGCCAGGTTCTAGATTTCTGTAGTTGGGATCAAAAGCAGTTCCTCAAATACAGACTTGTAAGCCCACAGAATACAGCTGTGGGCTTATATGTCTGTATTTGATTAATTCTACTTAAATTCCTTGTATTTTAATAGAGGCATTCTTCTTCCATCACTCTGTTTCATTTTTATTCCTACCAAAAGTTACTGCTTAATATTTTAGGCTATACAAAATTGTTTACTGCTTTTGAATATTACAGAAAGATTGACAAGAAGGTGGGCAAGCGGTAGATTTTATTTTCCCTACCATTGTGACATACCTCTGGCACCCTGGTTTCTCAGTTCTAGTCTTTTGTTTGTTTGTATGTTTGTTTTTATTTTGACACCTTCCCATCCTTACTTTTTTTCAAGATAGAAATCACTGATACATGCACACTATTTGTGGCGGTGGTGGCACTGTTACTAGGGATTGAACTTAGGACCTCACCTCTGTAGGCAAGCATTCTCTCACTGACTACATCCTGAGCCTTGCACAGTACATTTGTGTGGTTAAATAAGCAGAGATACACACAAGTGGAGTTGTTGGTAGAAATGATTTGTCAATGTCATATTCTGCTAATTTATAACTACTAGACAGAAGCAAGGATGGGGATTTTGAGTTTTTCTTGTCCTCCAAGTTTAATTTGTTCTTACAGAACAGTTTGTTTTCTTTGTACTTGTTTGAGCCCTAACATATTAACATTAAGAAACAACATTTATTAAATGGTGTGACATGTTGAGCACTGGGCTATAAATACATAATGTATATCATTTTATTTAATCCCTACAACAGTCCTGTGAGGCTGATAGTATTTCTCCCATTGTGCACTTGAGGAAATGAGATCTGGAAGGTTAAATAACTTGTCATACTGTATCTACTGGACAATTAGTTAAGCCACTAAAGATATAGTGATTGGTAAGGTCCATATAGAAAGAGATTTGAGTTTAGTTAAACATTAACTAAAGCACCTACACTTACCAAAGAAGTAAGTGAATGTTCCCAAATAGTCCAGTGGCCTCATCAGCATATCCACGCCTACATCTTAGGACAGAACTTGGAACTAAACGCTCTATCCTTCAACCTTCCCATATACCTGCCGGCTGTATGCATTTGCTTTTATCTTATGCTTCATTTTTTTGTCTCTGTTGTAACCTGCTGCTATATGGGGGCGCTACAGCAACACACTATTCATGTAGTGGTAAGTTCTCTTTTATGATTCTTGCTAACCCTGAAGAAGTTAGCAGATAGTTCCTGCCTGACCCAGCCAGGGCTTGGGTGTTCTGAGGCCAGTGTTAAAGCTTATGTGTAGTCCACTTTGACTGTGTGACTGTAGTTTTAGTCTCTGTGTTGCTTATTCTAGGGATAGAAGAATAATGTGGGTTACAAATAAAGTAGATTCTAAGTAGCTTTTTTGCTTTATTAGTTTTGGTTTTGTTTTAGTTTCTGCTTTTCCCCCTAAGCTTCTCATGCTGTCCTCCCCTATTTCTTGCTTTTAATAGATAGGAGGTACAAACTGGCCTTTCTAATAGGAATTTCTGAACTTTGTTTAGGACAAGTACAGTCTCGGGACCAGGCTTCAGCGACCACGAGCTGGTGCATCCATTAGCACTCTTGCTGGACTTTCGTAAGTTTGGACATGAAATGACTGAGAACAGCAAGTAACAAAATGCGTGTTTAAAGGAGCATCAAATTTTTTATTTTGAACTACCAATAGGAAAAAGATTCTTAGACTTAGAAAAGACCCAAACTGTAAGATACTCTTATGTTAGAGGAATACTTCAGTCATTGATAAGGACTTGGAAGATAATCCAGTGGACCCTTGGGAAGTTACTGCCTCTCTTCTTTTAGCCTTAGAGAAGGAGAAGACCAGAAGGAGGTAAAGATTGAGCCAGCTCAGGCCGTTGCTGAAGTGGAACCTCTGCCTGAAGACTATTACACACGACCAGTGAACTTAACGGAAGGTAATTTCATGTGTTCTTCTGTTCCTGCTCCATTCTCAGCTGTGTGTGCTTTGGCTGCTTGCATGCCTCGAGACTTGAGAGTCTTAATGGAATCAGTAGTAAATGATGTATTGGAAATCAAGTAGATGTACTCATTTAAAGAACTTTAAAGTGTCTACCAATACTGTTCATTTTGGCATATTGCTCCTGGTAGCATATTTCTTTGTCCACATACGAGTCTGATTTTTGAAAATGACTGTGAACTAATCCTGCTTTCTGCCTTTCTTGCTAGTGACCACCCTTCAGCAGCGCCTCTTACAGCCTGACTTCCAGCCAGTCTCTGCTTCACAGCTCTATCCTCGACACAAGCACCTTCTGATCAAACGGTCCCTGCGCTGTCGGGTAAATGCTCTTTCCTGTAGAGTTGCCACTTACACAAGAGACAGGCAGATACAGTAGACATGACTGCTATCTGGCCACTGTAGTAAATACAGAAAGCGCAGGGAACACACCGAATGTTTGGACATTGTTTTTAAAAGTTTCAATATAAATTCAATCCTAACGACTCCGGAAGTAGCTACTGTTGTTCTTGCTTCTCAGATATGGACCTGAGGTATCTGAAGGTTGAATGCGTAATGTAAGCCCATAAAAGAATAGCAGAAGAACGTATGGGTTTTAGGCTAACACAAGGAAAACACTAATGCAAATTAAACAAATTAAGAAAAAGCAAGAAAGAAGAAAAAACACAATTTAACCTCTAGGAATGTACAGAACAAACAATAGTTTTGCGAGTAAATTGTAAAAGCAAAATAAAATGGAAGGAGGAAGTCTTTTAGATTACATCCTGTGATGCTGTGGACTCCATGATGATGAGCTCTAATATGCCTGAATGATACAGGGTGGTACCCACTGGTCACACATGGCTGCCAAGTTCTTGAAATGTGAAGTTAGCTGAGATACTGACTCCTAATTCATTCAAATATCCACATATGGCTAATGTTATCAAATAATGCATCTCAAGGTTGAAGCGGTTCAAAGGTATACCAGCCAAGCACAATTTGTACAATGTATACAGATCCTGATCCAGACAAAATAGATATAAAACTTAGATAAAAAAAAGAGCCCAGGGAAGAAGGGAAGGAGGAAGAGGGGAGAAAACAAAAATTTATAATATCTAAGAAATTTAAACATTAGCAGGATTTCTTCTGTTATTAAAGTATTAGTCTTTTTTAGGGATACTATTTTTTGATATTCTCATCTTTTTGGAGATGCATGCTAAAATATTTATGGATGAATGGCATAACGTCCAATATTTATCACAAGAAATAAGAATGTAGAATGAACATATAACAAAAGCTTACTATCCGGCTCAGATGGTTCGTTGTGTGAAATCATGTGCCATCAAGCATGATGACCTTTGATCCCTGGGACCCACATGGTAGAAGGAGAGGAGTGCCCACACTCAACTGATTAATTCATTAAATAAGTAAAAGACTTACCTTTTACTAAATTGAATAAAGTAAATAAATTGAATAAACAGCTCATTTATATGCTGATTAGACACAACACAAATACCAGAATTCAGAGTTAAAGTGCAGATAGAGCCGGACATGGTGGTTCATGCCTGTAACCAGCTCTTGGGCATCTGAAACAGGAGGATCTTCAGTTCAAAGCCAGCCTGAGCTGTGTAGCAATACCCTGTCTCAAAATGCCAAGGACTCAGAGTAGAGCTCAGTATTAATGTAAGACTACTTACCTAGCACACACAAGGTCCTGGGTTTGAGTCTCAGCAAGAAAGAGGAAGGAGCAGTGGAGGCTGTACAGACACTATTTTTTTCTATTTTTCATTTTCAAGACAGGGTCTCACTATTTATCTCTGGCTGCCCTGGAACTTGTGTAGACCAGGCTAGCCTTAAACTCACAGAGATCTGCCTGCCTCTGCCTCCCAAGTGCTAGGATTAAAGGCATGTGGCTGAACAAACATTAATTTTTTTTTTTAAGTATTTCACTTTTTTTTTCATTTCCTTTGTTTTTGTTTTTTGAGACAGGGTCTATATGTAGTCCTGACTGTCCTGGAACTCACCATGTAGATCAGGCTGGACTCAAACTCACAGGGATCCCCGTGTCTGCTTCCCTAGTGCTGGGATATAGGGTGTGCCCACTGTGCCCAGCATTGTATGTCACTTTCAAAAAGGCTCAGCTCACAGACGATAGAACAGTCGGAATCTATAAATACCAAATATAGACGCAAAGTACACAAAGTAGTGTTTGAGACAATTACATAAATAGACATCATGGGGGATATGTTGACATATATTTGTCTTAGAAACAGAACAAACATAAAAGTCAGTAAAGAAAGAATTGGCACCTTTAACTAGCAAACCTGACAAAGAGATGTGTGCATTATTCCTAACGTCTGTACAATATACACAGAGCACTCTAAAACATTGACTGAGGCTAGAAAGGTGGCTCAGCAGTTAAGGGCACTTACGGCTCTTGCAGAGGAGTTCAGTTCCCAGAACCCCTATTAGGCAACTCAAAACCACCTGTAAGTCCAGCCACAGAGGATTCAGCATCTTTTTCTGGCCTCCATAGGGTACTTGCACTTGTCTACACATATCCAGATACTCACATACACATAATTAAAAATTAAATAAAAACAAATTTTAATACTTTGGAAAATGAAATTGTTTAAGTGTATCATTTGATCATAATGTAATTCAGTTATAAATTGATAATTCTTATATAGCCATCCTTAGATATATAGATGTCTGTGTAGCTATTCAGAGTTACAGATATAGGAGCATTTACACATAAGGGAAGTTAAAACATTAGTATCTCAGCATCTATTTCCAGAAGTTATAAAAACAGCAGCAAAATAAATTGAGCAAAATAGAAGTAAAAGCAAATACTAACTATATTAAGGAATTAAGAAACAATGCCAAATACGAAAGAAAACCAAAAGTTTATCCCTTAACAGACATTAATAGAAGTTAATATTAGTATGTACGTTAATACAGATTTACATAGATGTTGGATATAGAATATACCATTAATACAGTAATAACTATCCAAAATAAATAGTAGTTATTTTTCCTATCAACTTTACATATTATGTAATATTGATTATTCAAAGTAATATGCTAGTATGGTATATATTTTTAAATATGAAAGGCAGTAAATGCTGGGGGGGAAGGCAGTAAATGGTAGGTATGCACTTTTATGTAAAAAGAAAGAAAACAGTACACATATATAAACAAATCTATTTTATATATATATATATTCGTATATAATTGACTGTTATAAAAAAAACCATAAAGCAGAACATCTATGCATGTAAAAATAGTTGATGTAACCATGTGTAGTGTTACACCCCTTTAATCCCAGCACTCTGGAGGCAGAGGCAGGTGGATCTCTGAATCTAGGCCAGCCAGGTCTACAGAGTGAGTTCCAAAACAGCCAGGGCTACACTGGGAAACCTTGTCTCCAAAAAAAAAAAGTTTTTTAAAAAGTTGATGTTTGCAAATTATGGCATTGCAAATCATTGGGGAAAGAATAAACTATTAAACTTTGCTGGGGGTTGGGTAGGCATGTGGTTCAGTTGATGGTGCACTTGCCTAATGTGCATGGGTTCAATCCCCAGTACCACATAAAACTGGATGTGGGCTTCATGCCTATAATTCCAGTATTCAGGAAGTAGAAATAGAAGGATCCTAAGTTCAGGGTCATCCTCAGCTACATAGCAAATTCAGGGCCAGCTCAGATACACGAGACTTCATCTCAAAAAAACAATTTTTTGGCTAGGAAAACTGGAAATCTAAAAGGCAAATAGAAAAAAATAGAGTTATTCATATATGATTTCTGAGTAAGGGATTATTTCACAAACAAGGCAAACAACAAGCATAAAGTACAATTGGATCTTTTACCACAGCAACAGTGAAACTTCTGTTCCTATCCTACAGAAAATCTATAAACAAATAAAAAGATGTATACAGCCTGAGAAGAGTCGTTCATAAAGTGTATGGATAATGAAGGATCTATAGCTAGACTGTATACCTGACTCCAGAACACAGCAAAGGGAGGTACAGTGTAAAGCAGGGCACAGGACACATGCCTACGATTCTACCTTTCTGGATATAAAAGCAGGGAGTGGCACATTGCTAGATCCCCAGTCCAAAAGCAATATAAAAATAGAGAATGTGGCTGAGAAAATTCCTCTGTAGTTAGTGAGCATGAGAGACACTTGAACATACAGGATGACCACAGCAATGTGTATTAAAACTGGGTCAATGGGGCTAGAGAGATGGTTCAGAGATTAAGAGCACTGGTTGCTCTTCCAGAGGTCCTAAGTTCAATTCCCAGCAACCACATAGTGACTCACAACCATCTGTAATGAGATCGGGTACCCTTTTCTGGCCTGCAGGCAGAACACTATATACATAATAAATAAATCTTTATTTAAAAAAAAATTTCAAGATGCCATTTGATAGTCATCAGATAGCAGAAATTAACAGTTTGGGAGTATCTATCAAAGTAGTAAATGGCCTTCATTGGTCCACTCTTAGGAGACTGTCTTTCTGACACATTGGAAAGTGACTCATGTCCAATACTCATTGCTGCTTTACCTACAGTCACAAAGTGGTAGGAATATTCTAAATAACCAGTTGCCTGGTTAAAGTTATAGAAATCACTACAGTGGCACATTAAAGGTGAGGTTTCTGTGTGTGCCGAGATGGAATTCCAAGATTAATGTAGAATGGAAAGGGGAAGAGAGTGTATAGATTTACTTTTGTATTACTGTGAAAAAAGGAAGGTGAGATAAGCCTATACGTTAATATACGTATCTAGCGTGCCCTGTGCAGATTGGCCCTGCAAAGAGAAACAAGGGACACACTAGTAATATGCTCTGTATAACAGGAAAAGCTTTGTACTACTTAAACACTTTTCACCAGCTTGTGTAGGTCATTGGGCTTATATCCTTGCATTCATACAGATCTCCAGAGTTATATAGATTATTTCCCCTTCTTGGTCCCATTTTCCTCATCTGTTCAGAGAGAACATTAACAGCTGTGTACCTTCTTCATCTGATGAAGTAAGTCGGAGTGTGCATTGTTCACACAGTGAGTGCTTGGCGTGTGCTAGCTATTTGGATAGTTTCTAAGCACTACACGCTATGATATTTGTGGTGACCCAAATGTCGCCTATAAATTTTGGTTATCAATACCATAAATTCTGTTCTAATCTTTGGGCAGGACAAAACATAAAATTCTAATAACTACTTTCTGCATTTAATGGTTCTGTGGATCTTCAGAGTATATTCTTTTTCTCTTACGTGTACTTTTCTTTTTAGAAATGTGAACATAACTTAAGCAAGCCAGAATTTAATCCAACATCTATCAAATTCAAAATCCAGTTGGTTGCTGTGTAAGTATTTTGGGATGTTGATTGAGGTTTATGAATCTTTTTCAATGTGGATTATCTTTTTAAAACATTTAAAAAGGGAAAGAAATTACATCAGGACAGTCTTTCTGTTTCTATTCTGGTTTTGAATTTAGTTGAATAGCATGAAGTCTCAAGTACGTCTATAAATGTAAACTCAAGGCCATGTGGCCTGAGACTGGCACATCCTGGAATCCCGGCTTCTGGGAAGACAGAAGCAGGAATGTGTTTGCGTCAGTGACAGTATTGTGACGTGGTCTCTGGCAATATGGAATTATAAAATATCTAAGTTAAGACTTTGTTTGTTTGTTTGTTTGTTTTGTTTTTCAAGACAGGGTTTCTCTGTGTAGTTTTGGTGCCTGTCCTGGATCTTGCTCTGTGGACCAGGCTGGCCTTGAACTCACAGAGATCCACCTGCCTCTGCTTCCTGAGTGCTGGGATTAAAGGCGTGCGCCACCATTGCCTGGCCAAGACTTTTTTTTTTTTTAATATAAAGTATAGCAAATTGAAGAGTACTCTGAAACAATGTTCAGTTTACTTCCTGGTTCTGATAACATTTTACTGAATGGACTAAAAGTGATTAAGTTAGAGTTAACTCACTGCAGGTTTTCAGTGGTGGTGTATTTAAAAAAAAAAATTATTAGGCAGGCATGTTGAGGGAGCCAGCACTCTGATACACACACATGCACAATAACAGTGTTGTGGGGTTTTTTGGGTTTTGTTTTTAATTTAGCTGGATTTGATGGTGCATGCCTTTAATCTCAACACTCAGGAAGCAGAGGCAGGAAGATCTCTGAGTTTAAGGACAGCCTGGTGTATATAGCTAGTGTCAGGCTAGCCAGAGCTATATAAGTTTTTTAATTTAAAAACTGGTTTGTTGGTGCACACCTATAGTCTCAGCACTTGGGAAATGGCAGCTACTTCTATTCTTTTGACCTCACCTCCCAAAAATATCACCTATCAACTAAGAAAAATATTTTGAAAATTAAGGATAAGTCTAACTTTGGTGTAAAAGATCCCTTTGTAGCAAGATGAGAATTCCCTAAAGAAGATGAACACCCTTGACCTTGGCAGAAGGAATGATGAGTTGTAAAGGATGAAATTACCAGTGTCCTGAGACAGGTGGTAGAACAGGTAGAACAGTGCTTGGTTGCCGGGCGGTGGTGGCGCACGCCTTTAATCCCAGCACTCGGGAGCCAGGCGGATTTCTGTGAGTTCAAGGCCAGCTTGGGCTACCAAGTGAGTTCCAGGAAAGGCGCAAAGCTACACAGAGAGACCCTGTCTCGAAAAACCAAAAAAAAGAAAAAAGAAAAGTGCTTGGCGTTTATGCCAATGCATAATGCTCTGTGTAGAATTCCCACCAACTGGAAATATAATAATTGAAAAGCGATGAGAATGGGCTGTGGGACAAAGGATTTGAGCAAGCATCTAAGAGAAATTCCAAGTGGCCAGCAGGTGTGTGAAGAGATGCTGAGGCTCCATAGGAAAAGTTAACAGCCAGCATCAATGAGTATGTCATTAGGCAGGTACCTACACGAATTGTTGATAGGATTGTGGTTGGCAAGAGTCTTTGTGGAGAGCAAGCAGGAAATAGCAAGACAAATTACCTTGATGGTTTACTTTGTTTGGTGAGACAGGGTCTCTCTCAACCCAGACTGTCCTTGAACTCACTATGTACAGAGTGATCTTAACTCCTGATTCTCCAGCCTCCACCTCTTGAGTGCTGGGATTACAAGTGTGTGATAGCACCCCATGCTACATAGACCTTTGACTCAGCAATACTATGCAAGGAATCGACTCTCCAGGCACAAAAGCACCAATAAAAATACGTGTGTGAGGATGTACATTACACCTTTTTCATGGAAAAAGCTAAAAGCAGCTCTAACTGGCTATTAACAAGAAATTACTAAATAAATGGACATTCGTTCCTACTGCAGAATAGTATGCAGCTGTTTAAAAAGAAGCCATTTAAGTCAAAGGGTTAAAAAGTGCTGGTCTGGCAAGTTAGGATCTAGAGAGAGCCAGGTGTTAGGACTACCACTTGACTGTGTTTCTCTAAGTTTATTTTCATCATCTCTAAAATTACTTTCTGCTCAAGATTATTGAGAAAAGAGCCCATAAGTTGTGATGTTGGTTATTACCATGTAATAATAAATCACCATAAAATGTGTTCACTTTCCTAACTACCATTGTGCAGTAATAACTGACTGTTGAGAATAAAGAAAACTACCACAGTAGCACATGTGAACCATAGGATAAATTCCTCTTTATAAAGTTTTTAATATTACGTTTTCCAGGTAGTGGTGGCACAAGCCTTTAATCCCAGCACTCAGAAGGCAGAGGCAGGCAGATCCGTGGGTTTGAGGCCAGCCTGGTTTACAGAGCAAGTTCCAGGACAGCCAAGGCTACACAGAGAAACCCTGTCTGGAAAAGCAAAAACAAAACAAAAAAGGGACTGGCCTGAGAGATGGCTCATCAGTTAAGAGCACTGGCAGCTCTTCCAGAGGACCCAGGTTCAGTTCCCAGTACCCACATGGCAGCTCACAACTTTCTGTAAATCCAGTTCCAGGGGATCCGACACCCTCATGACACAGACATACATGCAGGCAATGTACATAAAATAAAAATAATTTTTTTAAAAAGGAATTATGTTCATAGGAGATAGTAATTAGCTAGCAATTTAAGGGGAAAGACCCCAAAGAAAAATAAATGGTTTCTCCCTTAGCTAAATTGACAGGAATGTTCTTGGACCTCTTGGCAGCCTTGTCCTTGCCAGAGGCAGGCCAGAAAACAGCAGTAATGTTTGGAAGCTCTGATCCTTGATCTGGTTCCTAGATGATTTGAGGATTGCCTCTTCAGAGTAGGGGATGTTAGAGGAGCAGTAAAGGCCCTTTAAGGAAAAACCAACTCTGGTCAAGAGAACAGAATCTCAGTTGGGCCAAGTCACTCACCTGGCCAGGGGACCACCTTAAGGCAGGCCTACCTTAAAGTATGCTAAAGAGATGGGTGGAGTAACTAGTCCTTTAATGGAATGTGCTTTCTTCCCCCAGACTCCTGACCCTGGTGCAGTCCCTTCAAGCAGAGCAGCCATGAGGCTCTGTACCTTTCCCTTCTTTCTATCTCTTTCAGGGGCTGGTGAGAGCTAAAGATACTTTTTCTGTATTTTGGGCTTCCTCACTCTCTGTAAAGCCGCTCTCCCACCATGTGACTGCTTGTCTGCCCTTTGACCTCCATCCCAGCTTAAACAGCACAACTATTTTGTCCTTCTCCTCTCCATTCTCCTCCTCCAGGCAGCTGCTGAGATTTACAGCTTGCCTGACCTGGGGTGTTTTCTCTTAAACTCTAACATTAAAGGTATCCTCAAATTTAAAAATACATGTGCATGTTCATTACAGGCAGCTGGTGGTACAGCTCAGTACTAGGCGGAGCACTCGCCTGGCTGTGAGCTTCTAGATTGACTGTGTAGTACAGGATACAGAAATTGTGCTCACTAAAGACCCTATGCTGGGCGTTGGTGGTGCACGCCTTTTATCCCAGCACTCGGGAGGCAGAGGCAGGCAGATCTCTGTGAGTTCGAGGCCAGCCTGGTCTACAGAGGGAGTTCTAGGAAAGGCACAAAGCTACACAGAGAAACCCTGTCTCAAAAAACCAAAAAAAAAGAAAGAAGGAAAAGAAAAAAAAAAAAGAAACCCTATCTGCTCAGTGTCATTTTCTTAAGCGTTCTCTGTCGATGGTTTTTCTGACATCGTGGTAGAATCATGTGGCAGTATTAATACAGATGCCCTGGCTGCACCTCAAACCTGCTGAATCCAAATCTCTGACAATATGGGATAGGGGCCATTGAATTCCGATTAGGAAAATACCTAGTTTAAAGTTAAAATACTGTTCAGCCTTGATTCTGAAATACTTTTTTTTCCACTTTAGTATTGCAGGCATGCTGTTAACTTATTCTCCATAATAGCCTCTGTGGGGAGGCCAGCTCCCACATTTATTTATCCCAGGGACTCTTGAGGAGAGAGTGATAAGAAACTTAGATAGAAATATAGAGGGGATAGAAACAGAAACACAGGATAGCCTCCGGTGGGCCTGGATCCTTATCCACCGGCCAGAACTTTATTCAAAAGGGCTTTTTATAACAGACCATGCATTCAAACACGTGAGCCTGTGGGGGCGGGGCCATTCTCATTCAAACCCCCTTTATCACAAGGCAGCATCATGGTCTGTAAATACTGAACGGGCATTTGAACAGGGGCAATTTTGAGCGCAGACAAGCATTCATGCAGCTTGTGATTTTGAAGTCAGAGTTACATATCAGTCAAGAGCTATGGATATTGTGGAGTTTCTGGATTTGAACCCTGGCACCACACCTGCCCATCCCAGCATCTCCTTTTTTGTAATGAGGTAGCAGTAGTCGTCCCTGTCACACAGAGTTGGAATGAACACTTGTACAATACTTAGAATATTGCCTGGCATACAGGAAGCACTGTGTGTACGGTAGGAATGAATTAGTGTTTAAAGCCATGTAGAATGTTAGTTAATGATTGGATCTTGTAACCAGCTACCTTGTAAATAAGTCAGATTCCCTCAAAATAAATTGGTAAGGAAAACATGCTATGCTACAACTATAAGCCCTAACCCAGCTCTCTATACATACAGGCTGAAAGCCTAAAATTTCAGACAGAACTCATTGCTAGTTTGGGTTCGTGTCTCTTCTCTTACTGTGGTGCTACAGGTCTTCGTATTCTCTCAATGTATTCTAGTTAACATTGTTTGTAGCACCTGTTTATGTGTGTGGGGTTTTTTTAAGGTAAATAATCATTTCAAGAGACTTCAGTGAACATTAATACATGTTTTTATTTATCGGTAGCAACTATATTCCAGAAGTGAGAATCATGTCAATCCCCAACCTTCGCTACATGAAGGTTAGTACCGGACTCGTCGACACACAGACTTGATTCGTCGGTGACCTCTGCATGTCTGTATATGGGTGGCTGTGTGTGTGGAATGGGATGCTGTAGGGAAGGTTCAAGGAAAGGACAGAAATGATAAAGACATGGAGACTTGGTCTCTTTAAACTGGGATTCTTGCCAACGGCATGTTGGGTGTATAAGAAGCAGGTTGTACATTCTGTAAAGGTAGAAAAGTGGGGAGAGGAAGATGGTGAAACTGGGTACCATAGGCAGCTTCCTCCTGTTGCCAGCAGGAGCTTCTCCATTGACTCAGATGTGTGTGCATAGTGCCAGGAGTTGCCTAGGTTCTTCTCCACCGTGGCCCCTTTCTTCCACGGGCTCCTCCTCCTCTGTGACTGATGAATGATGACTCTTCGGCGGCAGTCTCTGGCTCTTTGCCGTCAGGCTGCTCGTGAAAAGGTTTACAGCATCCTTTATGTACCAATCTCAAGAGCAGCAAATGGCCATGGGATCAGGTTTGGGAAATCTTAAAAAGACTTCGTAGTTTTAATGTGTCATTTTCCCGCTGCCCTTGGCAATCCTTCTGGCTAGCCTATGGCTACAATGTTTATTTGGGGATTTGGGGTTTTTTGATTTTTCCTTGTCATCCCCCAAGCACCAACTAGAGTGGACAAGAACTGCAAACTTTAATCATTTAGATAATAAATGTTTCTCAGGGTTTCTAGGCCTAGTCACTAGAATCTGCCCAGCTTCCTTAGTGAGATAGCCACCCGGAGCGTGTGTTGCTGACACAGAAACATAAAGATCAGTAAACATTCCTAGGATGCTCTGGTGTAGAGGGACAGGAGCTGTTGCTCCGGAGGAAGGGGGTGATTTTGAGAGTCATTTTGTGTAACACCTAAGAAGGTGGACCTCAGTGGGGGTGTGGCGCATGTCTGAAAGATACTTTCCTTCTTCTCCAGGAGAGCCAGGTCCTCCTGACTCTTACAAATCCGGTAGAGAACCTCACCCATGTGACTCTGTTGGAGTGTGAAGAGGGGGACCCTGATAACATCAACAGCACTGCTAAGGTAAGGGCGTTTGTCCCCTTGGACAGACCCTGACATGGCCTTCAGTGGCTTCATTGGACATGGCTTAAAACAGTCCACACCGGCTCTCATCTCTGCGTGTGAGCCAGGGTCCTGATTCTACAGCCTTATTTTATGTAGCCCTCAAACACGCAGCCACTGCCTGTCAGGTCTCGGTGTTCTCACTTGGTCTCAGACAGGAACTCATTGCCCAACCTCGCTGTCTTTAGTACTCTCAGTACTTAGTGCTCTCAGTACTTGGACTTCATCTCAGCCCGCCTGTGTGCCACCAGGCCGTTCATCCTGCGTTAGCTGCTCAGCCCTCTGACTTGAGGAGGAAGGCCACTTCCTCGGCACAGCTTCTTGACGATGGCTGCTTCCTGTTCGGAATTGAGCCTTTCCGGGGCTGCTGTAGGATGGCTGCACTGGTGGCCGTCGGTGCCTGCTGGGGAGCTGCCTGTGCTGCTCACTTGGACCCGAGCTCCTCCTCCTGCCCCAGCTCCCCAGGGCACACACCTTCCCATTCGGTTCAACACTCATGCCTGAGGACTCGTGAGGTGTCACCTCCTTCTGAAGCTGGTGTCTCTCCTACATCCGCTATTTATGTAGAGTACACATAGCAGTGACTAATTAATATTAAGATAATTTTGACTGAATGAAATGTAGGGTTTTTTATAGTTTGCTACTTAGAGGTTGATGGATGTAGCACAAATCTTCAAGGGTCTTATTAATAAAAACAAACCTGAGGCCTGGTACTGGGGTGAACTCTGAAAGATCAGAGAAGCAGAACAAGCCACAGCCAACCTCACCTTGCCAATTCCTCAGCTGATCCTGTTTCCTCAGACTGGAAAACTCTTGAGTCCTCATCTCACTGGCTCTCAGCTGAACTGCTGCTCAAAAGCCTAAAAACTTAACCAGGCTCTAGTTTCTGGTCCTCACGCCTTATATACCGTTCTGCTTTCTGCCATCACTCCCTGGGATTAAAGGCGTGTGTCACCACGCCTGGCTGTTTCCAGTGTGGCTTTGAACTCACAGAGATCCAGAGGATCTCTGCCTCTGGAATGCTAGGATTAAAGGTGTATGCCACCATTTTCTGGCCTCTATATCTAGTGGCTGTTCTGTTCTCTGACCCCAGATAAGATTATTAGGGTGCACAATATTTTGGGGAACATAGTATCACCACAGATGGAATTTTTTAAATTTTACATATGTGTATGTATTTGTGCATGTGCACACTGTGTGCACTTGGCACATGCTTCAAGGTTAGAGTCAGTTCTCTGCTCTACCGTGTAGGTCTAGATGAACTAACTCGGGTTGCTGGGCTTGGGGGCCAGCACTTTGACCCACTCAGCCATCCCACCAACCTAGTTGATGGACATTCTAAGAGAACTTTATGTAGTACTGACCCATAATTCAGTGAGATACTCACAGTGAGTATTCATAGAAGAAATGCCTCTATCTCCAGCTGTTATCCAAAGACTATCACTAGAGAATTTCCTAGTGGGTTTTTCTTCTGCCTTTTAATGATTTCATTCACTAGCATCACCTCTAGAAAAAGATGACACATGTCCTTACATTTGTTTTTTAAAATAACAATAAGAAGTAGGTGTGGTTGGGCTAAAAACATTACAGTCTGGAATGTGGACACAGCATTCATTGATCAAGGCTTTAATGTGCTGCCGCCGCCACCACCACCGCCACCT